CATCGAGGCCCTTCCAAGGATTCATAGTAAACAGACATATGCAAAGCCGCCCACCACTCCACCTTATCTAAATCTGATATCTCATAAGGGCCCTTCACACTTGTCGGAAAACATAAACACGCCACGAGCGGCTGTGCGTCTGCGCGCGCGCGCTCGCGCACGGAACCTGCACTGTCATTAATTTCGGCGGCGGAGGGAGGTCAGCGTACCAGACGGCCTGCCTGCGTGTGCAAGCATGTGTGCAAGCTGGCGTGGCTCTACGGCGGATGCACACTCCCATGTATGTGTGAGTGTGCGTGTCGTGAAGCGGGAGGGAGAGGAAGGGATGGAGAACGTGGATGTGGTCGTGCACGCGCACACACCGGCGTTGACAGGTGGCTGCGGTAAAGAGGTGGTCCCTGAGCTGGGGTCTGCCTGTCTCTGGCTGAGAGAGAGAGAGGAATAAAAAGCTCCCAGCAGCTGTCGCCCTAATTCCTCTAACACGGTGCTTGTGCTCTGATTAGAAAACAGATCTGGCCTCTAATTTACTCATGACACCAACTAATGCTCTATATCTCAATCGCTCCATCCCCGCTCGCCACTGCATGGCCTGCCTGGCTGGACACAGACACCGATGCACACCGAGTGACTCAGAAGGCAAAGAGACGAGCGCAAACAATCAGCTGAGCACGACACCGCTGAGCGCTAATGTGGCTTTACCTCCGTGGATTATGCTGCAGTCGGAGGAGTCAGGAGTGTCGCTGCGGGGTGTCAAACGTCTTATCTGCAACAAAGCAAAGCAAATTCCAGGCAGAAAAAGAATTTCCTGTTAAGTCACTAAAAGCTCTTTTAAAAAAAAATATTTTAATTAAAGGAAAAAAAGTTATCCAAACCAACACGAAAAGTAATCCCCCCCCCCCTTTTCTCACCCAATAGTAACTCTTTTATTAGTTTCACTAGGCTGATATAGCAAACTTTCAGAATCAAAAAGCTATTTAAACAGAGCCTGTCGCACAACACGAAGTAGGCTAACAGGTGTGTAAAAGCAACACATCATGACCCGATCTACAGAAATGTAAGAACATCTGAGAGGCGAAATCCCTGGCATCTGTCAGTCTGGGAAGAGTTACAAAGTCATGCATTTTAATGCTATGGGACTCCAGTGGACTGCAGCGAGAGGCTTTACCCACAAACACAGAAAACATGGAGTTGTGGTGCTCAACCTTCCCAGTCGTTGACTTAAAAAAAAAAAGAGACTCCAACAGTAAACTGACAACCGATCCAGAAAGGAACCCAGACATGTGTCTGCAGGCCTCGCTTGTGTCGATTAAGGTCCAGGTTTGTGACTCTTCACTAAGAAAGACACTTGGCAGAAATGACGTCTGTGGATGAGTCGTAAAGCAAAAATCATCTGGATCAAAAAGAAGGCTAAAGGGCTGTCTCGCATTTACTGGAAAATATTTTGACTTTAAATGAGCTGTTCAGGCCTGAAAACTCAAAGATGGCTAAATTTAAACTATTCTCCAAGGAACAGTGGGTTATAAATCCTCCACGTTGATGCAAAAGACTCATTGCTAGTAACAAGGTTTTGATCGCAGTTGTTAATCAGGGTGAAAAATCCAGGTATTAGTTTTCAGGTACAATTACTTTTTCACAGAGGGCCAGGTTGGATAGCTTGTTCTCCCTTAATAAATGGCGTAATCATTTAGACGCTGCTGTTTGTACTATCTCAGATTAACTTGATATTAAATGTCTTTGATGATCTGAAACTTTTAAGTGTCACAAAACATGAAAACAGAAGAAGCCTGTATGAGGAACAATTATTTTTCATAGTATTGTACTTTGATTATGTTAAAACCCAAGTTGTTTTTTTTGTTTTGTTTTTTTTCAAATCCCCTTTAGCCTATAAAAAGATCATGCACCATTTCTTTTATCCAATTCTTTCATATGTTTACAAGATGGTAAATTATTCTCAGTTTTACTTCCTGGCAACTTTCTTGACTTTCTTGTTGTTAATTGCTGCAAGTGCTAAAATATTCATCAAACCTGCAGAACAGTGGCCAAAAAAAAAAAGTCTTTGTAAAAGATATTAATTTGATGCTAGAGCATCTGCATGTGTCAGAATCTGTGGCTCTTCTCCAGTTTGTCAAGTTGCGAGTTTGGAAATATGAAACCGAGGACCGTAGCAGGTCAGAAATTTAGGATGTGAGTGAGATCATCATGTCTGAGATAGCGAGGATGCTGTTGGAGCTGAAAAACAAACGGAAAATTGTATGGTTTCAGAGTAGTCTAACAATAAAGTTTTATATTTATTTGCAGCATGTTTAGACAATATAAAGGGTTTTCAGGACCAGGTTTATTTTAATATCACTGAGGATTGGAGGAAAATAATAGTGACATCTTGACATCAACAAATCTTCATAACCAGCAATCTATAATCCAAGGAAACTTTTTCGGAGGCATGTCAGGGAAAAAAAAAAAAAAAAAAGATTTTTTATCCTACTATCAAAAATGCAAAAATGTGGAGTTGCTAAACCCTCCTGAAACTGTTTGATTTACTCTTATGAGACTAATGATGAACTTTCAGAAAACAAACATTCCAGGTGGAATCAAAATTAACCGTCTTCCATGTTTTAAGGCCTAAAACTCACATTGAACTGCTGAGAAGGAGACATCAGAGAGGATCCATAACTCTGGATGCATTAAAGATTGAGCAAAGAAGAAAGGTGAAAAATCCAGATCCCTCTATGCGCAATCTTTATCAAATATAGTACAATACAATACAATAAATAAAAGATTAAGTGCTGTAAATATGGTAAAACTAGTCATTTTAATAAAAAAAGCAGTTTAAAAAAAAATCTAAGACTTATTTTATTTTATTTTTGGCCTCAATGGACATTGAAGGTTGGATTGTTTTTTCTTCTATTTTATAGTGTAAAATTATGCTTCTGCAATAAAGCCAATTCTATGTGAAGTCTTTATTACATCTTTGCGAGGGCTGAACAAAGTGCCTGGGGTAGGTTAAAAAATATCGTGGCATGATCAAACCAAGAATATAAATAAATATTTGGAATTGCAAAATAGTTTGAAATTATCACATAACCTCAGTCCAAAAAGAAAGCTTTGACTGAAAGCGTGACAGAATGTGAAGTTATGTTCCGTGGTGCCAGTGGAGGTGGAGGAGGTGGAGGAGGCGGCGTCTGGATGCCGTGACGCTGTTTGCCCAGCAGGGGGCAGAGGTGTGATGCAAGGAGTGGGAGGTGACAGCTCAGTGTCACACTGCACACACAGGGTGTCACCTCAGCAAGCTGGGAGATGGAGAGAAAAAAAGAGAGAGACGGAGGGGAGGAGAGGAGAGGGAGAGAGTGGACAGAGAGACAAAAAGGTGAGAGATCGGCCTCAAGCTGTGCGTGTTTTTTTCTGCTTCTATCTTTGCGAGGACTTGAGAGTGAGAGGTTTTCTGACCTGTCTGAGAGCTCAAGCTCTGCTAAAGGTCCAAGATTCAATTTAAACTGCAAATAAAACATTCTTACAATCTTATTTTAATCCGATGATGCAACACTTGGTGAACTTAGTAGCTGTTTATCTAATATAAATAAAAGGATGTTATTTATTAAGGCCGCAGTGTGATTGTTTATATGTGGATTAGTGAGAAAGCATAATAAGGATATTTTGTCTGGCTTACGTCTGAGTAACACCATAAAAAAAAAACCCAAATGCAGTCACTTTTTTAATGCCTTGGCTGGGTCCAACCAATAACGCAATAATGTATTCTTTGAACACCTGAAAGTTTCCTTCTTGAATCTAACATGAGCTTTATTTTTAAGAATCCCTGTGTCATCATTGGCTTGATTATGCTAGTAATGCAGAACCTACTGCATTTTAGCAATTAGCTAAACCTTAGAATATTGAAGATTTTATTTGGAAAAAAACATCTGTAAGCTTTATTATGAACTGGCAACTAAATCTCGTTTTCCGAAGTGACGTAGTCCTCTTAGAAATTTGAAAACAATATTTGCAGGAAACTATTCAAAGAAATGTTTAAACTTTTATTGATCTAAGCTTAATTTTGAATTTCTGCTTGGGAACAAACAGTCACATGATGCTTACATTTTCCAGAATATTACCAATAAATCTTTTGGCTTCTATTTTCAAAATACTAAACAAGTCATAACTCTTGATCATATGTTTAGGCCTTCATCCTTTCTAATTAAATCACAATAAAAATAATAAGGTTAAGGGACTGTGATTTTCAGACAAATTTCATTAATTATTGGGACGATACTTACCGATAAATCAAGCTGAATTGAATGTAGAGTACAAAAATGATCGTATGAAATGGACCCCTAAAGAAATTCTGCCCTGGGCCTCATATATGCTTGAGCCGCCTCTGATAAGAGCTAAAGTATCCGTATGTTTTGACCATCTTAACTATAAACCTTATCTAAAATGAGTGTGAGCTTTGTAATTCACTACAGCTAAGCTAGTGTTCTTTGTGTAAGTGACTCCTTTAGAGTGTGTGTGTGTGTGTGTGTGTGTGTGTGTGTGTGTGTATGTGTGTGTGTGTGCACGAAATCCTTTCCACATCCTCTTTCTTCTCTCTCTGTCTCCTCTATTTTTCTCCAGGGACTCACTTGGCATCACTCCCTACTTTTTATTCTTGCTCCACAAACTGCTGGTGTCTGAGCACAGGCTGGCCGAAGACACACACACACACACACACACATGTTTGTGTTGCCATCTTTGTGGGGACATCCATTGACTTGCATTCATTTCTACAGCCTAAACCTTACCTTTACCCTTTTCCTAACCCTATCCATCACATACCTAACCCTATCCCTAACCAAAACTCAATTCATACCTTAGCCCTAACTCTGACCCCTGACCCAAAAACAGGGTTTCCCCTTGTGGGGACCAGGCTCCGGTCCCCACAAGGAGCAATAGGTCCCCACAACGTAGTATATGTCAGGAAAATCGTCCCCACAAGGTATTACAAACAAATGCACACACACACGCACGCACACGCATATTTCCTCCTTAAAAGAAAAGGCAGTTACACTGTTGAACTTGATAAAGCACCAAAATGTTACCATCACTTTGCTGCCATCTAAAATATTAGAGACGAATTTGTAAGCAAATATAAGTGTAGATAATACAGTATATGTTGAATCTAAAGAGACAGAAACACACATATAAAGCCAGTGATGCCTCCCAAGACACACACACCATCAAGGAGAGTAACTGATGTTGCTGCGTAGAGGCAGCGTCATCTGAACTCGATACAAATCCGTATTGAAGGGAAGTACACAGATGCACATGCCGGATGAACCCCTAAAACATAAACAAAAACAAAAATCAAGGAAGTTGGAGAACATGCACATCCCACATTTATTTGTTTATTTCTATCCCCATTCACAGCTCTTTTAGTTTCAAACCAGCCATATACACAAACACACACACAGAGCTTTACAGTTCTCCTGCAAAACATACATTACACTGACAGGCAGACAAGGCAGACTTCAAACGCAAGAAATAAATAAATTAAACAGAAGTATGACAGGGATTAATTAGTAAAACGAGGGGATAGAAGGAGACGCAAAACAGGAAGGAAAGATGGAGTTTGGAGCTGAAAGAGAGGAAGCAGAGAGGGAGCCGCGGTGATCTTTGGAAGGAGGCTGGAGGTGCAGGCAGCGAGACACTTCAAGTTTTACTAAAGCTGATGTGGCACGCAGCAGAAACAGCCAAAAAGAAACTTCTCAGGTGTAAACATGTGCAGGTTGCTCACTTTCGTGCAGGATGAGCCGGAGCGACATTCTTTTTTTTTTTTTTTTTACCCTTCCGAATTTCCTGCACCGTCTTCTCTTCATTATTTGGGGAAGGGTGTGAGTGTGAACGCAAATATGCAAATGAAACGGTTATTATTGCATTGCTCATCAAGCAGCGCGAAGCAGACATTAATAGGCTGATGAATATGCATGTGAATTTGTTAATTAAGTTAATTATTCTGCTGAAAATGCATTCGTCTTCCAAGGACATCTTCCCCAGGATTCCAACCTGCTCTGCTCATTAGTCATGCGATATTTTACACTGGGCACCGGGACAAGAACGAGGGGAGGGAGGGGCACCGAGGGGCCACCGAGGTTAAGACGTGTGCGATATAAGGGCATTGTGGGTTTTTGAGTCCACTTAAGAACACGGATTTGAGGGCATCTGAGAGAGATACGGTGGCGCGGCGATGACGCCTAATCATTCATCCGCTCTTCAAAAGTGAAAGGTCAGCGGAAGAGACAGAGCACGGCAGTCAGCTACAGAGGGGCGTTCACGTCTCTTGTAGCCAGACGTTCGTTCCATTTCTGCTTTTTCCTCTTTTCCTCTCCAGTAATTCCCCCTCTTCGCTGCTTTTCCTCTAATTGCTTATTAAAACCCTCTTAAATGAACTTTTTGTGCCAACTTTCCAACACATTAATTAATTGTTGTAGCCAATTAAGTGTCGCTGTGCAAATGAGCTTCAGCACAAATGGTCCTGCAGGGCCCGCGCCCCCTCCCCCTCCCCCCTTTCTACACCCCTACCCTCTCTCTCACTGCTTTCCCAGCAGCCCCTCTGCCCTTAAAGAGGCAGCACCGGCATGTGCAGGCGCCGAGGGGGAGACGAGGCAGTGATGCTGCCGTGCTGATCGAGCTTTTTGAACCGAATTGATAAGAAGAAGGTGAGACCTTGGGGGGAAAAAATGACTTTGGTTTGCAGAAGTGCAGCATCATGCAGAGAGGATGGTGTGAATTTGACTGAGGTGGCGATATCGCCAAGACAAAAGGTCACAGAATAGGTTTAAAGAAGCCAGCAGTGTCGTCTTTCCGGAGTTTTTCTTTGCATTACAGTCTCTCCGGTTAGCCTCACTGCTGTTGGAAGACCCAAAGCAGAGTTTCCTCTTCATGGTCTATGCTTGGTCATTTTTGCCATCTGTGTTTAGCACCACTTGTCCTAAAGTTAAGTAGTGACAAATATAAAATAAAATGGACACCTGACTGAATTTAGTCTATCTCAGTGCTTCATGCATATCTTTATATTCTGTTTGAGTCAGATTTTTCCATGCGTTAAGATTTCTTTTTATTCCCTACTATGTTTTTTTGAACTATTACGTCACAGTATTAGCTGTGGAAGTGCTAAACAAGGTCATGAACCAAGTTTTGCGAATCAGCCATTTTTACTTCTCGCAGTGATTTTGTAGTTGAAGTTTAAGGATGTCAAAGATAAAAGTGGACAAGTCAGCAAGCAGCAAAGTATTAAGCTGCAAATAATGCTAAATTGACAACAAACTTTATTTTAGACACAAATTTACTGTGTGTTAATATGACATCTTGGCCAATGTGATCATAGCATTAGCATTGTGAATGCTAGCGCTGTGTGTGCTCACTTTTAGGGACATAACTATACTGCCTGCTTTTGAATAGTATAATTAAACAGTTTGTCATTGTTTTTGTCAGTTTTGTCTTGGGAAACACCATCCAGAGGGATTCAGTGGCTTTCTTAGTGCTAGCGTTAGCTAACTCGTTAACTCTATTGAGGCCTGGACGTCTATGTGAGGCGTCTATCAACAGATGTCATTCTGTTGATGACATCTTTTAATCAGTTTAGAAATGAAAAGTTTATGTGTTTTTATATAGACAACAATCGTTTGAAAGGAAGGATTAAAAGCATCAGCTTCAAAGTTAACTTTTAGTTTTGGCAACATTTTGGAGTGGCCCAGCCAGAGTCCTGATTGAAATCTGATGTTTTCTTCAAATGTATGTTGAGTGTGATTAAAAGCTGCATTTGTATTTGTAAACTGTTTCCTGGGTGAGTTCAAGTTTTCTTTCTGCCTCTTTTCGGTATAAACGTCCTCAAAGTCTGCTTGCAAAGGGCCAGGCCTGACATAACAAGCATGTGTAACATGAAATTTCCTAGAAAAAACTATAAAATAAAGAGAAATGGGGGGTGGGGGGGGTCGTATTATGGCGCCTATAAAACTTGCTGTTTCAGCAGTAAACCGTACATCACAGCTGGGAGGAAGTGGATCTGTTTTCGAAATATTGCATAAACAGAGACGTACTCATAAACAAAATGGCTGACATTAAATTTTATTTGATAGACAAAGAAGAGCTGATGAAGACAAGAATATTTACACGCAAGCTGTCTTAATAATTAAAACGACTTTGATTCACATTTTGTTCAACTAAAGGGGTGTAGGAATCTCAGTTCTACTTTTCTTTTATTTTAATGTGTACGTTTGCCAATATTTGGAGTTCTGGGCTGGTATTTGTCTTTTTTGTTTAATTTGGCTTTGTGTGTCTTGGATGTGGAGCTGCGGAAGTCCCTGCCTCTCCTCGACGAGTTCACAAGCTGATCAAACAGCCTCAGTCATCAAACCGGCAAATTGCTCACAAAGACAAAATGCAGAAGGCACTGCACACACTCATGTTTTCATTGCTGGGTTGTGTTCTATAGAGGTAGTTAAGAACTTTTTAATCGATACCTTTTTATATGTTCAAATTAAGTTTTAAAATGAGAAATAAAAGAATTAGACAAATTAATTAAACATTTCAGAATGTTTAACGCTTTGCTAGTTCAATTGTCATCTTCTAAAAATCCTGTTAAGCTTATCCAAGAGTTGCATTGATATGCATAACATCCTTTGTTTGGCACTGTGGTTTAAACAGAATCAAACTGCTTCATTTGTTCCTCGGAAATTAAAAAGTACAGGGAGTTCTGAGGTTGCTGCCAGATTACAATGTGGTGGTATAATTTAAGAAAATAAATACTCAACCATGTGGCATTTAAGAAACGGTCTGTAGCTTGTAGAAATCTCGAGAAAATGCTTCTATGTCTCTCTTTATAGTGAATTTTTGCTGTAAAATTGGCATTGTTCCATTCTGTTTCAATTTAGGGCTGCTCAAAGATCCTTTAAATATCACATGGCACCCAAACCAGGTGTTTAATATTGCTCACCACCAGATCTGAGAGGGACTCAGAAAATTCAATCAGTCTTTGAAATAAAAACCCAAACATTCATTAAATCAGGTTAGCACGAATAGACTGAAACAAACCCTCAGCAATTTCACCGTTTGTCTGGAAGTCTCCCAGAATCGCTGCAGCTGACTTAAGTGCCAGCATTCAAAGGCTCCATTTTGATCGCCGCAGACTGTCCCCTGCCATGGCGACGGTGAGATTCAGATTGGCACATTTCTGGGCATTCCCCATAAGGTGCTTCTTTCTGATTGATGGCGCCGCCTCGCTCGCCTCCCTCTCGTCACTCCTCAGCCCTGATTTATTCGTCTCGTCTTTGTGACTTGGCTCTGGCATTGCCCACTACATCCTCCAGTGGAAAGTCCCCGCGGGCACATTCACTATTATTTGGAGTCCCGGCGGGCGGAGGCATCAGACAGAATGCAGCACCGTCTCATCTCATTCACACTGGGCCTGTGCTAGAGGGCAGGTGAGCCTCCCTCCGCCTCCTCTCTGAATGGGTATCCCACCCAGAGGGCTCAGCTGCTCGCCGGGCCAGAGGGGTAAGCGGCTATGTAAGCGTGCCAAGTGAGGAGCTGGTCTCTGTGTGCGTGAAGCCAATCCAGCACACACACGCGCACACACACACACGCGCACACACACACACACACACACACAATCTGCACCATCCTTGGAAGCCTCTGCGTTTGCCCATCTAAGGTTTATGATCCTTGGCTGCCTGTTGGGATCTTCATAGAGAGATCAAACCAAGTGGGGGAATAACTGATGTATAAATATGATTGATATAGAGGGAGAACCAATCATGGAGACGTCATGTCTCCATCTGACTGGGTTAGAATATAATCCATCCGACTTTAATTGGGTTGGAGACAATATTACAAGTCTGCTCACTTTAAAAAAAATGTGTAATTTAGCTGCTTGTGCATTTTTGCTGGATAGAAATACATCAGTCAGCTAAACAGCCTTGATCTGCTGATTGGAGAAAAATCTCACTTTTATTTAAGTCTATAAATGTAACACAGAGAATGTTAAGATCTAATAAAGGTTGGGACTATTATATGATGCATAAATAAGGATATTGCTGTAACCCCTTTTCTACTGTAATCAAAACGGCCACTTCTCTCAGGAAGCCTGAAACAACGTATCAATTATTATTTTTAAATATATATAATAGAAACCATAAAAAGGTTGATGCTACAATAATAATATATGACAGTGGAAGCCTGCCATGGTCATGTCCTCAACGTAAAGTATTGAAAGAAAATCAAACAACAACAAAATGTCAATGTCTCAATAATGTCCTGTGTCTTTGAGCATCAATTGCAGATGTTTCCTGCTGTTCATAAGTCGACTTATTGTCTGCTGAGGCATGGCGTCCCACTCTTCTTGAATGGTGGCCCTTCAGGTCACAGCTGACCCCCACCTACCCACACTCCAACACCACCACCACTTCTGGTGACGCATAGCGCTTTCCTTGATGTCTTTAACATCATTGGTTGCCATAAATTCTTCTCAGAGTGAATCAACTTTGATCAGAGAAAATCTCTGAGGCTCTTTTGTCCAGTGCAAATGCTCCCTGACCCCTGCGAGACAACACGAATACCTGGTGTGCTGGTCGGGTACAGTGCCTTTAAAAGGTATTGATGAATGTTCTAACAATTTTACTGCTTTTAAAATCCCTCCAAAACAACTCTTTAATGATATTGCATCAATATTTGGCTCCTTTACAGTGACTGACCTGATTCAACAGTTCTGGCTATCTTGTGTTTGTATTCTCAGTGAGTGGAATGGAGATCACCGGAGTGCAGTGAGTGTGTCGCAAGTGACTGGAGTATGGAAGACATAAAGACACATAAAGACACTCCAAGCAAATCAGAGAAAAGGTTATTGACAAGTATAAGTAAGGGGATGGATACAGAAAAATCTAAGGCATTAAACATACTCTGGAGTCCAGCTGCATCCATCAAAAAATGTATTTTTTTGATGGATTTATGCCTCTTTTTTGTGGGAGAGAAGCATAAAGAGACATGGAAACTAATATCAACGCTCAACTTGAGACTAATGGTCAAATGGACGAAAGTTCTTCAGTCTGATGAGACCAAAATGGAGCTTCTTGGTAATCAGATAAGACACAGTTTGATGGACACCAAACACTACACATCACCACAAAAACACAACATCCCCACTTTGAGGCATGGTGGTGGCAGTACGAGTGGACCAGTCAAAGCCCAGACTTTGATCCAAAAGAGAATTTGTAGCTGGAGTGGAAAAGGGATGTTCAAAGCTGACCCCCAAGCAACCTGACAGAGTTTGAACAGTTTTGCAAGGAAGAATGGAGTAAAGTTATCAAGTTCAGATGTGCAAGTCTAATTCAGACCAAAAGACAGTCTGTGCTGTGAGTGCAGCCAAAGGTGCGTCTGTGTTAGACATTTTAGTAAAAGATTTTTTTTTACCAAGTTTTCACTTTCACATTAAAGAGTTTTTTGGTAAAATGCCTTCATCAAAAAAAGCCAAGCTTTTCCATCAGAAAACATCCTGTTGCATTTTTTCCCTTCCAGTGGTACTGAGGTGCTGTTGATCAATTAATTGTTAGGCGTCGTCTTGATCAGATTATCTCCATCCAATCTCATTTGAGCTACGCTGCAAGGGACGAATCCCAAATCTACTTTTGTGGACTATATCACATAAAATGCCAAACTTTTACAAGTATGTGGTCTTAACAGGGGGAACGTGGAAATATAAAAAAGGTGCATCAGTTTTAGACTATATGTGCAAAACTGAAAAAGAGGGAACCATTTAAAAAATGATTCTAATATCTGAGATCAAATTAGATTTTCCAGGAATCTTTTACTGCACACCTGAGTGTCCTATATTCAGTATTTTTTGTGCATTTTTTTCTTCAGAGACAGCATGCTGACTCAAAATTAAACAACTCGTAGCACCGTAACCTGGCAGTTCTCACCTTCGATGAGAAAAGCAAACAGTTGGGATTTGTGGAAATGTCTACCATCTAGTGGTCACTTCACACAGAAACGCTCAGAAATGGTATGTAGTCCATCTGGTGGAATAACCTTTAATAAGCGACCCACAGCCCCCAAAAACACAATTACAATTATTTTTGTCGTTTCTTCTGTCTTTTATTTTACAGACATTACTTCTCCCTTTCTTCAAAGCAAAAAACGGAAGCAAAATGGCTGACCGTCACTTTTTAAAGCGTTTTTTTCCACTTTATGTAGAAAATAATCTAATCAAAATTAAGAAAGAAAATGAGGGGGCAGGGGGCTTGCTGCAACAGTTGTCAGAAAGGCGACGCGCTTACGGCCCAGATAAATCCATGTGCATTTATTCAACTTTACGTGAACTAGAGTAGCATGTGCAGAGCAGCGACGTATAATGTTTTGATATAATCCGTTTATGGGTCAGAAACAGGAGAACTAGAGGCTTGTTAAAGAAATGATTGTTGCACGTCATAGGGTCACAGTTCAGGTAGGACAGCGTGTCCCAATCTGCTGAGGTTTGGGGGTTTAAAACAAAAGAAATGCTCTGAAAAACATACACAGTGGTCACTCAAAGCAGAACTGAAGCCCCACCATACCCGAGATCGCTCAGGAAAAGCTGAAACGTCAGACTGAAAACAGGAGGAGCTCGCCATTTAAAATAAACTGAAAAAAAACATTGTTCTCCGTAACAATGAAACACACTGAAAGGGGGCCACTGCAGTGGAGCTGACAATCATTAAGCCTCAGTTGCATAGCACTCAGTTTAGCAGTCCGGCCTCGTCGATGTTTGGAAAAGAGCAAAGACTTGGAGGCGGCGAGTGTTGCAACCTGAACTAATCCTTGACAGCCTGACCCCATGTCCAAACACTCCCACCAAGGCAACAGAACAGCTTGCTCCATTAGGCAAATGCGTTCATTACCTGGAAAAAAAAAAAACTAAATCTCCTCCTTTTAGACATTCACTTTCAAAATCTTTGATTTGACTTTCACTACCTGCTCTTGGTCCAGTGAGTCACTTTCTGTGGCTGCATTCTCCATCTGCCTTTCCTTTCCCTTCAGGCCAGGACTGCTGGAGCTGTCTCATGATACCCAACATTAAGGTCACCGGTGGATTGGGGTTCAGCGGGCGGCTCCATGGGAAAATCGCAGATCCTGGTCCTTGGGGAACTGCGCCGAAGTGGTGGGAGCGGCGGTACCCAGCGCTGCCGGGGCCTCAGCTGGGGCTGAAGGTTTAACGGGAGAGTCCGCAACCCAGGGTGGGGTGGGCTCTTCACGGCCTGCGGCATCTACAGCCGGGGAGGGGTCTTTGCTTTGCTTGGAGGTCACGACCTCCAGGTCCTGCTGGGAGATGAGCTGAAGCAAGGCAGCAGCCACAGCAGGGCTGATGTCCTGGTTGCTAGGCCGAGTTTCTGACTCGGCTTGTTGGGAGTTCACCAGGAGAGGAGCTGCTGGAGGGGACCCGGGTGGAGACGGGGGGCGCTGTTCACCGCTTGGAGGAAACTGGTCAGGCAGAACTTGTTTCCTTTTTGACACGCCACCATCTAATGGACCCAAAGAACAGAAGGAATTAAAAATAGAGGAAAACTGATCAGAAATGTTAAGCTTTTCTTTTTTTTTTTTAAACCCCAGTATGTTCTACACCTCACTTACATAAAAATGTTCTGAGTAAGTCCAACTTGAAAGTTAAGCAATGCTAAAAATTCCCATGTCGACCACAAGGGGGCGCACATGACTAACTACATATAAACATTTCTTTGCTCTCCGCTCACGTGGCCATAAATGCTGTGAAACAGTAAAATGTATGCAACTTTCCAGGTTTAAAATCGTTAATGAACCCATTTTCATGACTAATCATTTTAATCATTAGTCATTAAACATTAAAAAGTTCAATTTACTGCATGTAAAATATTGGCACTCCTCCCATATAACCAGTTGTGTGTATTGAAAGAAAAAGATGAGATCCAAGCACCAGTGTGTGATATTTATAGAACAGTGCAACCAAAACAAGACTAAGATTGTTTCCAGTATAAGTAGTGATTCAGCTTAATATTTATACTAATTACTGAGTGAAAGTTAAAAAAAAAAAAGTGACAAACCAAATTTAAAAGAAACACATGCAGGTGAGATCTAAAAAGATTCAAAATATTTATTTTCACTTGATAATTTATTAGATTTTCTTCATAAAAATCCTGACATTACAGACTGTTTTGTTTTCCTGCGAAGAAGCCACGACACCTCCTTGATGATGAAAATGAAGTGAAGAAGATAAAACATGTGAAAATGAAAGACAGAAACAAAGACAGTGAGAAAGAAACAAGAGGGAGATTTCATGGGAACAACACAGCGTGAAACTTTTTTTTATTTTACGCAGCTGAACATCACTCGACTAGGTTTTGGTTTTTACTGAGCACTTCAACCGTGCACTGGTCATGTCCATGTGCACAAACGTTTACCTGTTTACCTGGGTCACATGACAGCCAAATGCACAAGAAATTTTCACAAGTTTCCTTTGCCTTTTTTTTAAAAGACAGGTGCTGAAAGGAGATGAGTATTTGTCAATAACAGATGGGTTTGATGTATGATTGGTCTAATAGCCGGATTCATTTGGATTATTGTTCATTTCATCAGGTCATCTAAAATCTAATTTGAGAAAAGTTTATAGGTCTTGGGACAGATTTCCTCTGCTTTACACATTTTATGGATTTCCCTCCCGACTGGTTTCCTCTTTGTTCACTCTCTAAAGACTAAACCCAGACTTGCCCTTGGAATCAGTAGTAGAAGCGGACGAACCGCGTGTCAGCGCCTCCTCTGACTTAACGCCATTGCTTTCATCGCTTTGCTCCTCGGTTTGAGGTTTTATGATTTGGCCCAGAATGAGAGCCAGCAGGCTGGCCTGGTCTTCCTGGCTGAGCGGAGGTTCTCCAGATGTGGGTGAGGCCTCCTGGGGTTCCGGAGGCGGCTCGGGAGGCTGCGCTGCGGCAGGAGGCTGAGCCTGGTCCTCTGCAGCCCCCTGGTGGTCAGAGGCCTCACTGAGAGTTGATAGCAACTGGCTGACAGTGTCTGCGTCAGAGAGGTTAAGGAGCTGGGCCACTTGGGGCAGCTTGAGGTCAGTCTGTCCCTGGAGGAGATTAAGCAGCACGGCCAGCTCAGTTTGATTCAGTTGGTCTGCAGCCGCTCCAAGACCTGGAAATACACAGTAATTAGTAAAAACATGAACTGGAAACAGTAAAAAAAAAAAAAAAAAAGTCAAAAAAATACACCGATAAGAATCTGACAGCATTGTGACTAAAGGACCACTCCTGACTATGAACAAGTAAATACTCACATTTTTGTACATGTATCATGTATAACAGCATTTTCATTTACTTAACATGTCAGCGGACCAAATTACATATTAAGAAAAAAGGAAATCTAACTGTATGCAAGCTTTTAAAGTTTAAGTGGCTCGACAGCGTCTCCACAAGCACAGCTACATTACAGGTTGATGTAGAAAAGGTCAGACTTTTAGCTGCTTCCATTCACTACCACTGTGTTAAATTAATCATTACTGATGCCTATACGTAGAAGGGCAACAATGCCAGTCAGAACTGGAGCAGAAGTTACAAAGTCCACCTGAATTTGACTTGGTTTTATTTCACTTTGTCACGGGAAAGATTTTTTTTTTTCCCAAACCGAATACTTGGAGGTGATCTGTTACCTGACAGCTCACTGTCCAGTTTGGCTGTGGAGGGCGGCTTTCCTGGGGGAGGGGGCGGAGCTCCAGGTGGGCTGCTTTGGGGTCGGCTGTTCTCTCCACTGGAGGTCCCAGCCATATCTTTACGGGGCACTTTGGGCACAGGCACATCCTCAGGCAACCCACTCTGACGTGCACGTCTTTTCTTTTTAATCCACAGCTCGTGACAGTCCTGGTGATGAGGAAGACTGGACAAAGGAAGCGCAAACAGGTCAAAAATTTGAACAGATTTAAATCTTAAACTTAAAAGTCTTTCGACACTAACTCTGGTGGCGACATCCTGCCAGGATCGACATCAGTAAGGAAGTCACTGAGAAGAGCTTGCTCCGATGTGCAGCGACGTGAAGGGTCGAGGGTCAACATGCGGTCCAGCAGGTCCAGAGCAGGAGTAGGCAAACTGCAGAAAGGAACAGAAATATTTACCAAAGCTAACAGGAAACAACAGATTTGACATGAGCGCTTGGCAGGCGACATACAAGGCAAACTCCTCTCGTAGCCGCCGTCTGTACTGCTTCTTGGGTTTCATGGTGTTGAAGAGTGGAAGTTTGATGACATCAGGCCACGCCGCAGGGCAAGGACTTCCACACAGACGGCTGCAGGAAACGGAAGGGAGCTTTTAATCATGTGGTATGATTGAAGAAAACGGCAGTTTGAGATAGAAACAATCTATGAAACTCTCCAACATCACAGAGGAAAATCATAGACAATTCTTTTCATTCTTTATTTTCACTTCCTCTATAAAAGGCATGTAACTCTCAGGTAATCTAACGTTTTTTTGGAAGGTTGTTTTCCAAGAATG